GTAGTTAACACCTTAGTCACCAGAAGGAAGAGCAGTAGCTAGATCCTCCCCTCACGAAGTAATGCCTGACGGCGGTTTCCATGAGGGATTAGAGGAACGAGGAAAGGGGTTTAGGGTTTAGTGGGTAGGGGCATTAGTGTCGAGTTTTAGTATGACCCTGTGTCGTGTGTCGAGTCGCCACATATCCAGGCCAAGCAGCTCTGCCTGGAATCCGCAAAAAGGATTCCCCCCCTAAGGAAAAAAAAAAAAAAACAACACACACACACATACTGACACTGTGACAACATCGCGGGGATATTCAGGGAAGCTTCCTGTGACCTTCAAACGTCGAGATCTGATGAAAACTCGATTTTTGCAAAACGGGGTGAAAACAATAACTTCCCGATTTTTGAAAATCTTCGATTTTCTGAGCGGGAAGTTAAAAATTAAACAATTCAAATTTGATATTGGGAAGACAACTTTTTTATCTTTTTTGCGTGACTGGTAGGACATGTGATGAGCTTATGTTCAAATACGAAATATACAAAAACTAACGTATGTTTTCATTTGAATCAAACGTAATTCTCTTCTTTATTTAATTCTTCTTTTTAAATACAATGAATTACTAGCGGTAATTAATAAGATGATTAAAAAAACGTGTTGCCGACTTAAAAAATATTTGGCCTAGATACCAGTTAGTACGACTGAAAAGTTACTAGGAGAGAAAAGTTAATTTTCTTATTGATCAAAAAAAATTTTCTTTATAAATTTGTAAAATATAGACTTTTAATAATAAATTAAGACTAAATTAGAATTAACTAGAGAAAAATTTTAGTCATTTTCCCATTTCGCATGGAATGCCCCATAAATAAATATGAATAAAAATACTTCATTACAATTTTATGTTTGTTCATTGATAGGATCCTCATGTCAGCACATCGAACGTGCATCCAAGTGCACCTGGAAGTTTCATTCGATCAATCGGCGATTTTAAACACCAAGAAGCTAATGTCGTCGATAAATTTGTAATAAAATTTTTTTTAAATATAATATTTGAAGGAAGAACTTTTTTGTTAATGAAATATTTTTTTTAAATATCTAAGATTAATAAAATTAAACATCGTGATGATGGAAAGCATACCGCCCCAGGTGATGTTATAAGAGCATTTGGTGATTTTAAGTATCGAGTTGCTGATGCTGCTGACGATGTAAGTTCTTCTGAGACCATAAAATATTGTTGCATCCAAAAATTAATAAAATAGATATTTTATTTATTGTTGTTTTATTTATCAGGTTGTAGATTCAGTTAAAATCAAAGCAGAAAAAGGAAAATCCTTTCTTGGAGATATTTTTGACGGGTTTTTTCAGAAAAAACACCTGACAAGTGAATATCATTCCTTTCAACCAACACCGTTATCGCCACCATTTTCACCATCTATAGAATCGGGAGTGTATCCAGTTCCACCTGAATTTCCTTCAGTGTCGGTAGACGGTTCTGTGTCAGCGATATCAAATCTTGAGAACACATTATACCCCTATCCAGATATTAAAAAACCAGTAAGTCCACGGTTCGTTTTCATCTACGATGAAGGACAAAGAGATCTAACAATCGATGACATTATCGATGCAGGAAAATATCTTGAGGGCGTTAAAAAAATAGCTGCAAACAATAAAGTAAATTTTTAATGCATTCATAAATATGAATATTTTATCAACACTTACTATCGAAAATTCAAAATAAAAAGTGGATTTTATATTATTCAACTATTCAATAAATAAAAAATATTTTTTACAATGTGATTTCAGTGAAAAACTAAATTACTTCATGATAAAACATAACATAAAATTTGTTTAGAAATTTTCAACATCATCTTGATCAACAAATAATACTTAACTGTCATTGGAAAAAATTTTGTTTTACGGTGATACGTCTGGAAACAGACTTAAATTTTATAATGATTTAATTTTGGTCCAAGGCTTTCGATCTATAAACTGGGATCCTTATATTAAATTTATCTGGAAAGGTTAATGATTAAATAATATGATTTAATTTCAAATTACTAATTATATTCAATAAAAATTTAATAAAACAGAATTATTTGTAATACAAAATGACTCTATGTTTTTACAATTCTAGTTTAGTATTATGAGGTTGGATTATAATCCAACATTATTTATATTTATATTTACAAAGTATACTTTCACTGATCACTGTTAATTTCAACAAGTTGTAAAGTAGACGAACAGGATGACCACGTTCTTCGAAATTTTATTACGAGCAGGATAGCTATGCTTACCCGAGTCAAAATTCAAGTCGTAGATTCAACGTATTCAACGTTCAAACTGTAATTCGACGTATTGAACGTAAAAAAACGTTAGTTGAACGTAACAAACGTTCAAATCATAAACTCAACGTTTTGACAGTTTAAAACGTCAATTTAACGTACGAGACGTAAAAAATATAGATTCAAAATTTTCAAAAAAAATAAATTCAACTGTTTTTAAAAAAAAATATATGATCCATATGTAGTATCGGTAAATACTGGATAGGATATTGATGTTGTAAATATCTAAAAAGGGAATCACAGGTCGGATAATTTAAGTGAGTTTTTATTCTAAAATTGACAGAGTTAAAAGACAGAGGTCTGTCGTACATCGAAGTTAAGTAGGAACCCCCTGCTTGAGTCCCATACAATTAGATCTTTACTTACTACCTGGGTTCTCACCCCCGCATCAGTCATACTTCGTTCTTACACTCTTGGTACTTATAATGTACATTTTTGCCACGAGACAAATCTATACTTACGTTTCCACGCATACAAATATTTTCTATAATATCTTAACTACACATCTGTTATTTGGGAATTTTTCTTAATCCCTTTATTTACAACCTTTTCGAAAAAATACTTACTGCTAAGTACAAAGGTGCAATAAAACAATAAAATCGAAATATTTAAATCTAAAAATGCCCATTCCACACATAGTAAAAATCAAAATTTACAAAGATTATTCACATACTCAAAATTATCTTTCTAGTTAATCATTTGGCGTCTGATAGACTCTTTAAAAAAAAAATGAGTTTGATAGCTCCTAAGGCCAAATTTTCTAGCTGTGAAAGTACCTAAAGATACTCCAAGTACTATTGGTTCTTAATTAAAAACTTGGTAGTCTTCTTAAACAGCCATATACCTTCGAAAAAAAAACATTTTGGAAACCATTCCACAGGTAAAAAATTCGGACTAAGTATTTTTATCGAACAGATGGTGGAATTTCAACCAAAAAACTGGAATCCTGCCCACCAGAATTGAAAAAACATTATTTATCGTACTTCCGTTTGAAAGCATGTAGTTATCTGAATAGTTTTGATATTACTTATTTTCACTCCTTATCGGTTTGAATCAGTTCAACTAACGTTTTTAACGTTCAAATAACGATTTTAACGTCCAATACGTTGAACTTACGTTTTCAACCTCTAATATGCTAAACTTACGATTTGAACATTCAATACGTTGAATCTACGATTTAAATTTTAACTCGGGTAGTTTAGAAACTTTAGACAATAAAGCCGTACAGGTACGACTACTGACTGACTGACCGAACTAATCACTCTGAATACTCAGATTCCTCTGCTTGATTATTTGAGGATGACGTGCCCTGTTATATTTTCGGATCCGGTCCCACATCATGGATTCTCCGGAGAAAAGTTGTATCCAGTAGGAACTCAGTTTTCCGGACTCTAATCCAGTTCCCTTTGAAAAAGTGACTAGGACACGCCCGAACGCGGGCATGTACATTACATGCGGCATGTAGCATGTTATTTTATTTATTAATATAAAAATATTGTTTATTAATATTGTAATGATTATTATAATTTAGTAATGACCTTAAATAAAAATTTTTAGTTTCCCGTGAAAAAATATTCTGATCAGACTTGATATGTCCTGATATGGCCATATCAAAATGTTTGATATAATCATATCAGGCCTGATATGATCTGATATGTCCATGTATAATTTTTGATAGGTCCTGATATAACCTGATATGACCTGATATGCAAATTGGCCATATCAGGCCTGATAAAGCTTGATCAGGCTCGATATGGCTGGATCTGGTTTGATATAATTTGATCTGGGCTGATATAATTTGATATATCTATAGATAATTTATTGATATTGAGACACTGCAAAATGTCCCGAATTTATCAGCCTAGCGAACTACCACCCGAAATTTCCGTTACCGACACTAGCTAAAATAATGTGTAGCTCCCGTGACGTCACAGGACGACACGAGGAGGGGAAAATCAGCTACGAGCCTCAGAACCTGAGCATTGATCGACACTTCGATCTATCCCCCGGTGTCAACCACCACGCTAGGTATTTCTTAGTCAATACTACTATTACCACTAATAGGTGATTACTCACCAAAACTTACTAAAATTTATAAAACTTACTACTAATTAATTCAATATTCCTTTTTACTACTATTAGGTGACTATTCACCATAATTTACCACTAATTCGCTACTATATTTCTAATATTAAATAACATTCATTCTATTGTTACAATTATTCTATTTTGTTAAGTTACGTTACCGAAATACCACAAGTTTATATTAAAAGTGCTTATTTTGTGTAATAAAGTTAAGTTTATTGTTATCACTGCTACATACCACTGTTACGTCCGGGTGACGATAACACAATTAATTTATCAGTTCCTTAAATTTGAGACTAATCACCGAAGATTATATGTCTCGGGAGGCGGGAACCGCGCCTATAGGTAACTGCACGCGGGTCTTATATGATAATGGGCTCGAAAAATTATAATAATTCTTGGGGAATCCCGGCTCTGTTAGGGTATCCCTTTTGGGGTAGGTCAGGGCACAAGCGAAAGAGAATGCAAGTAAAATGGTATTGGATAGACTAAGAAAGGATTATACCTGAGTGAGTGAGACACCGAATTGTTGTTGGGCCCTCGTCCAAGTACCTGAATGTCGGAAATGCGAGGGTCGTTGACCGATGCACCGTGATTGTCGACTAATTAACTCAATGGTCAGGATAATTAGTTAAGGTGTTTATTAATGAATCCGATATATTTGAGTAACTTACGGTTGTTTATTGCAACAATGTGCGGATACAAGAATAGCTATCAATGATTGACTGGTTGGAATGGGTAATTGATTATTTAATAATTAATTATTTGCAGAGTTGCAAAAATCCTAATGTAAAAAATAATGCAATAATCATTATTTTTTTTAGTGGTAATGTAATTTTTATCCATTTCTCATTAAAAAAAAATTTTAATGTAAAGTATTTACATTACTCATTAAAAAAAAAATTTTTAATGTGAAGTATTTACATTACTCATTAAAAAAAAATTTTTAATGTATAGTATTTACATTACTCATTAAAAAAAAAAAATTTAATGTAAAGTATTTACATTACTCATTAAAAAAAAAAAAATTTAATGTAAAGTATTTACATTACTCATTAAAATAAAAACAATGAGCAATGAAGGGCCTTACATTACTTATTATTTATTATATTAGCAATGACTTAGTAAGTTATTAGGAGTCTTGCATTACTTATTTAAGGTAGTTGTAGCGTGAAAGGTATTTCAACAGAAAGTTATGAAATTTTTTTATCGAAAGATAAATATATTAATAATTCACTACCAAAATTTCAGATCAATTGACCGCACTGTTTTCGAGTAATTAATTTTCTCAATCCTTTCTAAATCGTGAAGCGTTCCACATTTTTTAACAAATATAAATAATGCTGTGAAGCGGGATAGAATAGGAGTTACGGATAATTATTACGTGAAGCGTTCCAACATTCACGTAACAGGATAATTGGTAGGAAAGGATTGAGAAAGGATTATGGAGAGGAACTTCTTAATGTCAGTTTATAGAATATGCGAGAAAAAAAATTATTAGATAGCTCAATAAATATAATACATTTCAATACATCATATACAAAAGGCTCATATTTATTTATTTATTTATTTATCAAAATTTTAGACCCTGAAGCCTTAGCTCATACGTAAAAATGAGTAAATTATAAGGAAATGTTCTGTGTTAATGCACTTTAGTGCATAAAAGTAAAGTGTATTTATATTTAATTAACACACCAAAAAAATGCATTATTTCTTTACGCAGTTAAAACGTGTAAAATTATGCATTAGGCGTGTTAAAATTACACGTTACGTTTTTCAAATGTGTTATTTTCATGCATTTAGCTTCATTTATATGTTTAGATGTTTTAAAGAACCGTGGTTACACATTTTTGTGCATTGAAAAAACACGCTTATTAACACACTTGGATTTGCAGTGTATTGTTATAAGTTTATTTTCTAATTAAGTTGTGTAAATATAGTTATTAATTAAACATATCAGTGTACCTTAATGTAAGTTATTTTATAACAACTACCCGCCATCTTGAACGAGCGAACACGAGGCCACCCAAGGTTATCTAATCATTGCTGGAATTTATGTATGTAAATGAAAATTTGATACGTTGGCCGAGTTTAAGTTCTTCCACGAGACTTTACGCAGATAGTAAGAAAGATTTTTGGTAAGCTATCCGTTACCGCAGGTTACAATTAAAGAAATTCAGCGGATAAATTTCCTACACGGTGTTGTCCCATTATTATAAGAAAACTTATTGGGTCTCCAGCAAATCTGCAAGGCTGACAGGCTTAATAAGGAAATTAAATTATTAGTGTAAAATTAAAATTTCATTTCAATATATATAGGAGACTTTCTACAGATATAGTCTGTAACGTAGATTTTTCTCACACGGTAGATTTTTACGGTACTCTATAATTCACTACGTTACACTTCGTCCATCTTAGCCATCTCTCGATCTCCAGGAACCCCGACAGGCGCCAGCCGACTTTTGTTTCACCGGTATCGGCAACCGGGATACGACAACTTGAATTTTTATGTTCCCAGAAGATCAAGAGCAACCTCGATGGTAACGGAATGCCTCGGTGTCGCTCAGTTATGCAGGTTATGGAGAAAGGGTCGTGATTTGGTCTCTCAGAGGAAGTAATTTCCTTACAAAACGGGACTAAACGATATCTGGTACAATAATCGGTACTCTCGAACTAACACTCAACCTTATTATTCGGTAAAAATAAAATAAATCGATATTAAAAATATCGCGGAAGCAGTTCTAAACGAACACAAAAATAAAGACAATGGCTCGGGCCATTCGTCTACCATAATAGCAAGCGTGAAGCACGCAAGCTCCGATACGAGAGCTCAACTCCACTCTCTAACACGATGCTTACTCTACGAGAGCTCGTAACTGACTCTCTTCACGGTACATCACTAACGCTGCCTAGCAGCGACGGTACGTCCGTCCTCTACGAGGACCTCCACAAGACTCCTCGGTAAATATCAAACGCTGCCTAGCAACGACGATACGTCCGTCCTCTACGAGGACCTCCACAATACTCCTCAATAAATCGAGAGTTCCACACAAAACAATCCGTACTCCTTCACTACTCCAGCCAGATTGTCTCTCACCGTACCCCAGAGATGTCTCTCTACATCCATGCTACCAGCTACATGCGCTCAACTCACTTTCACGCTACTCCCAGACATACAAACATATAGGAATATTCCTTTCGCTGGGTAGAGGTCAGCTAAGAACGGATTTTACGAAATTCCACCCACAAAGGGGGTGCGGGGGCATTAACAATGAAAAATTCCTGTTTTTAAACTATAGCTCCTATCGACTCCAAATTTGGAAGAAATCTTCTGTAAGAGATGTAGAAATAATCTATAAGCAAATATTACGATATATCACCCTAGAGAGGGTTGCGGGGGTAGGTACTAACAATGAAAAATTTTAATTTTCAAGCTATAGGTCCTACAGACTCCAAATTTTGTAGGAATTTTCTGTAAGTGATGGAAAAATAATTTATTAACAAATTTTAGGATATTTCACCCCACAGGGGGTTGCGGGGGTGGGTATTAACAATGAAAAATTTTAATTTTCAATCTATAGCTCCTAAAGACACCAATTCGGTAGGAATTTTCGCCAACAGATGTAGAAATAATATACGAACGAATTTTAAAATACCTCACAGGAGTTTGCGGGGGTGGGTATTAACAATTAAAATTTTTAATTTCCAAGCTATAGCTCCTATGAACTTCAAATTTAGTAGAGGTCTTCTATATGTGATATAGAGATGATCTAATAATGGATTTTACAACGAATCAACTCCAATAATGATCGTGGGGATGAGTGTTAACAATAAAAAATCTTAATTTTCAAAATATAGCTTCTAAAAGCTGTAAATTTGGTAGGAATCTTTTATTTGTCATGTAGAGGTCATCTCAAAACATATTTCAATAAATTCTACTTCCGACAGGGATTGCGGAGGTGGGTATTAAAATCTAAAATTTTAATTTCCAAACTGTAATTGCTGCAGATTCTAAATTTAGTAGGAATCTTCGTGTACGATGTCAAGTTCAGCTGAAAATGGATTTTCTCGAATTCTAACCTCAAAAGGGATTGTGGGGGCGTTAATAATGAAAATTTCTCGAAGTTTGGTTGGAATCTTTTATTTATAATGTAGAAATCATCTCGAATAGGATCTTACGAAGTTCCTCCCCCACATAGGAGTGCGGGAGTGATAATTGTCAAAAAATTTATTTTCTTCAAATACAGTTCCTACAAATATAAAATTTGATAAAATCTCAAGAGAAACAGGCAAATACCGGAATGGCCTCTAAGGTCAACGGATTTAAATATTTTTCTTACTTAGTAGTGATATTTTTTTACAACAATCGTCTCTTTGGCAGCGGCAAAAAAGTCATTGTAACGTTTCTAAAATTTAACATTATATATAGCTATTCGGTCAACGGACTAAGAATTTTACATACATTTTATTTTTGCTGATCACATAACCGATGAATTATTCTTATTACGGGATCGCGAAAATGTAACAGATTAAAAGCATTGTATGAGATATAGAAAAGAAATTTGAGATATAGAAAATATGAAAAAAATAAATAAAAATGAAACATAAAATTTAATTTATTTCCTATTTTATTCGCCCAGCGAAGTGGGTGGGAAACCACTAGTATATATATATCGGATATAACGCGGCTTGTCACGACGATAGCGTCGCCAATTTACAACGCATCTCTACCAAACTCAACATACTTATTCTACAGATAAATACCAAAGTCAAGTTCGAAGATGAGCTTAATCCGTCAAGTAATTTAGAAATACCAGGATTTCAAAATTTTGAAAATCATAAAAATTCATATTTCTTCACTTTCTTACTCGAATAACTTCGGAATGGGATAACTTATTGAATCTCTGTAAATTGCATCTGAAAGCTTTTTAAATAAGCTTCAATTTGAGTACCATATCATATATGTAGTCTTAAAATTATGTCCTATTCCACTATGCCAATTATGAAATTTGCTATTGCACTGGTTTTAAAATTCTTCCTGTGACGTTATAATTCAGTCAACTATACACTTTTCTCTCAGTTTAAGCATTTAAAATTAGCGGAAAGGTGCAGGGATGGCCTGCAGGGTAAACCCTTTTACTTATGTTTTTTTTTATCTATTTACCTGATTATTTCATTTATAAACAAAGCGCTTAAGGAATAAAAATTCGGATTTGCCTGACTTCAATAACTTACTAATTAGTACTAATCACTTACTATTACTATGAATGATTCTTAACCAATATCTATTTACATTTTGATAAGAGCTGCAATGAATAACAATATGTGTGTAAAATATATAATAAAAATAGCAGCGTATGAATCACCTTCTCAAAAGAAAAAATTAACAATTATGAAAAAAATGTGACAAAAGATAACGGTGATAAAGATAAATGATAGAGTAAAGTGTTGTATGTATAGTAATGATCTGTAGGTATAATTTAATAATTTAAGTGTGTAGTCATTTTTGTTATTTAGTATCTAGGGCGTGCTTATCGAGTTATCTCGTATTTGTTTGAGATAAAGTTTACACGTAAAATATCTCAGTATGACTGTAACGGTGTACCAACCTGTTCTGATGATATTTTTTTTTCGAGTAGAAAAATTTGTGATTTTCTGGACAGTTTAAAGTTAATTAATAAAAAAATTGAGAAAAGAGTAAAGTTTTTTGTGACGTGAGAAATGGCTGGGACAAGAGGAAATGAATCAGCGCGGTTGGAAAAACAGATTGGTTGTATTAAATATACGATATTTTCATTTAACGCAATTCTATGGGTAGTTATTATTATTTTGAATATTTATTTTTTAAAAAATACGAAATAATTTAAAATCTATATTAAATTTTTTTGGTTCTTATTTTTTTTTCTTTAATTTTTTTCGCATATATAATATTTTTTAATCAGTAAGTAATTTTGTAAGCATTTTAGTTAAAATAATCATTTGATTACATTATTTACAGAACTTGGTTTAAAAAAATTTTTTGACAAAATTAGAATACTTTTAAAACTTGTAAATGCATTTTTAATTTCAAAGAAATTTTTATCTCTAAACAAAATTAGTAGTGTAAATGTATTCAGAAAAATGTTTAATTTGAGCAACAAATCAAACTTGCATTGATAGAAGATCGATCTGGATTCTAGAAAAGTAATCGTTCCAAGAGAATTATTTTGAAGTCAATTGATCATTGAATTCAAGAATTTATTGTTTTGAATCTCATAATTTTGGTTGAAGCGGCCTTTATCGTTGATCGATAGCTATTGACACTTTATTCATGAGTTCATTATCTTCGATCAATACAGGGAATTGTTCATCTAAGAACAATTTTTTTAAAACAAATATTTTTTTTTTTTTTTTAAGAACTTTATATTCTTCGTTCAAGAGCTAGTCTTTTCGTTCAAAATACAAAAAAAAACGAAGAAATATTTACCCAACGACGTTCATGCGCTACGCTATAGTCAAATGAGTACTATCTTTTATGAAATTTATTGGAGTCTTGAGAAAAATTTTAAAGTACATCAATAATCGTATAATTATTTACATTTTTTTTTTATTTTATTCAAATATTTTTCAGGCATCTATTTGGAAAAATCAGTATATAAATAAATAGTTGATTTCAAGTTAATTTTTATTGTTTATTAAATTAACTGCTTATTAAATTAAGTAAAATAAATTAGAATAATTTAAATTATACAAAGTAAAATAATAAATAATCAATTTAAACGTTCGCCATCACTATGTTTTTGATGCATTTATATCAACTACATACATCAGTTAACTTTTTTAAACATTATTTATCATATTATCTACTTTAATAATATACACATTACAATTTAATTTAAAAAAAAGACCATTCGGCAGTCAAAATGGAAGTAGATTTCATCATAAATTGAAAAAATCATGGATTTCAAGTAAACCAGCGACTAAAACCTTACTTCACCCTAACTCGTTATTTGTTTACTTACTGCTGGTGTACAGTAAAGAAAAAAAAACGAGTGCAATAGCAAATTTCATAATTGGCATAGCGGAATAGGACATAATTTTGGGACTACACATATGATATGGTACTCAAATTGCAGCTTATTTAAAGAACTTTCAGATGCAATTTACAGAAATTCGATAAATTATCCCATTCAAAAGTTATTCAAGTACGAAAATGAAGAAATGTAAATTTTTATGATTTTGAAAATTTGGAAATCATGGCATTTCTAAATTACTGGACCGATTAAGCTCATCTTCGAACGTGACCTCGGTATCTATCTGTAGAATAAGTATGTTTAGTTTGGTAAAGATCCATTGTAAATTGGCGACGCTATCGTGGTGACAAACCGCGTTTTATCGTATATATCTATACACTGAAAAAAAAGTTTTTTTATACCCGGAATACTGAATATTTTTTAGTCGAGTTTTCTTGTACGCAGTAAAAATCAAGTTAAATATTTTAAATTTAAGAAAACTGGTATTTTAAATCTGAGAATACTAAGTTTTTTAACAGGGCTAAAACTAAATTCTATGTTACCATAGCAACCGTAACGGTGGCGCCACTATTTTGTCATTTCCCTCCAATCTACAGTGTACGCGTGTTTTTTAGTTTACCTCATGTCTGAGTCTACTTACCTAAGTATTTATTTAAGTAAATTAAATAATTTATAAATAAAAGTATTAATCATTATTAGTACTTATTTATTTATTAGGTAGATTTCATAGAAATCAATCTTTTGCATTGGTCCTCATGTCAGAATTTACTCGGAATGTTGTCGTAATATCTCTTAACAAGTCGAGTAAAGCTCAAAAACGACGTTAGTTAAAAAATCTATATATATATATAAATACATACACATATACATAAACTTTTGAACCATATGCATTTTCTGAATCCGCTTGACGAGCTGAGTCGAAATATCTCAAAATTTTTTAAATGTTCCGTCATGAGGACCAATGCGATAGTCAGATTTCTATGAAATCTACTAAAAACAACTCCTATTTACGCTTGTGTATAAAAACGAATTTTGAAAGTTGTTTTTTTGAAAACCGTGTCATGGATCAATTTGAAATTCTAACAGTGATCGTTTCATTTTTAAATCTTTCGATAAAAAAAATTTCAAAATTTTGCTATTATTTTAAGAATTGGTATCGAAGCTGCTTAATCCTCGAAAAAGAAATTATTGGCTCATGTATGGTTATCTTGTTTGAAAATCGTAAAGTGCTTGTAGAAAGGTTCAAGAAAAATTTTTCTGAGAATTTTCAGGTCATCAAGTTTTATTTTATGAAAGAGTTGATTTCTCACGTTGAAAAAACTGAATATCTTGGAAAAAAAACAGAATTTTTAAGAAACAATCCTTCTTAAATCATGTAAGGTAAAAGACCCAGTTATTGGCACTTGCAATTTTATTTTAATTAAAAAAAATAAATCAAGTCTAGTAAATTAATAAATGTAATTTTTAAATTATAAATTTTAAGATAATTGATTTTTTGAGAACATTTTATTTTCTTAATTATGATAAAATTGCAAGTGTCGACAACTAGGCCAGTGTCAATAACTGGGTCTTTTACCTTAGTTTCTTCTTAAGAGTTATTAGAAATTACATTTATTTCTCAAATCAAATTAAAAAAACATCAAATTTTCAGATTCTAGGAGGCGGGATGTTTGGTCTAGCTGTTTGGCTGCGAGTAGAGCCTGGCTTTCAAGAATGGGTCGAATTTCTTGACCTGGGTGACTATTACATCGGAACTTACATATTGATAATAGCGTCTGTAATTGTAATGGTAATTGCATTCTTTGGATCTGCCGCCGCTTTAATGGAAAGTGCACTGTTCCTCTGGATCGTAAGTTTTTTATTTTCGAAATTAAGCCACTAATGTTAATAAAAATTATCAATTGATACAACAGCTGTTTGAATACTTTTCAGAATATCGGATTGCAATTATTCACATTCGTTATCGGATTAGCCGGAGCAGCAGTATTGCTCGATTACTCAACCTATGACAGTAAAATTCAGCCTATAATCCATCGGTCGATGACTTCGTTGATTGTCAATTCGCAGTATGACAGACAATCTCAAATTTTGAAAATCGTCCAAGAAAATGTAAGCGTTATATTTATAAATACAATCTTCTTGTTACTTAAAACATTTGATTTTCAACCAGAAACTTGAGATAATGTTTAAAATTCTCCAAGATGTTTCTTATGAAGCGCACAGCTAATTAATTGCGTTAATTTTCATTTTTGTTGATATTTTAATCATTAATAATTAAATTTAAATATTTATGATTTTTGCCCTAAGATATTGACAAATGAAGAATTTTTCAAATAAGCTTTTTTTTTCTTGTAGAAATTTATAATGAAATTTTTTTTTTTTCTTATAAAAAATAAATCTTTTTTGAGGCATTTTGAGATATAACGAAATTTAATGTTAAGATGTATCATAAGATAAATGTATTAAGTATTGACACTATACTTTATTTAAAAATTTATTTAACTACCTACAATATTCATAGCCCATCGTTGAATTTCTTATGTAATTCTTAAGATTTAAAAAATTAATAGTTGAGAAAAATTTTTATTTTCATTGACAAAAAATTTTACTCTAGTCAAAGCAGTTCCTACGTGAATATTTTTTCACAAATTTGGTTAGACAAACACTTTAGTATAAAATTCATTCTTCATTATTTTTAACTTCCCGCTAAAAATCTCAGATTTTCAAAAATCGGGAAGTTATTGTTTTCACCCCGTTTTGCAAAAATCGAGTTTTCATCAGATCTCGTTTTAAGGTCATAGGAAGCTTCCCTGACTACCCCCGCGGTGGTGTCTGTATGTATGTATGTATGTATGTATGTATGTATGTATGTATGTATGTATGTATGTATGTATGTATTAGGGTGTCCGTTATTGT